AAATAAATAAATAAATAAATAAATAATAATAATAATACCGTGTCCTTTAAATAGTGCTAATGCATAGCAATTGACTAATTTTAAATTGCATGATGCCTGGTAGGTTTGTTTTCCTAAAAATAAAAGAAGCATGGTCTCTTTGATACCTGTATTGCAAAATCAATTAGTCCATTGATGTTCAGAGCTGGCTCCATGAGATCGAAGATAAGCTGAATGTGGTGAGCCAAAGGGAGATGATATGACGTTCCTGATGCAAAGCTTGTGATTTGTTCCAGCACATTGTTAGAGATCTGTGCAAGCAAAAGTGAGGAGAATTACGATCAATATTCCAAACAATCTTTCCCTTAAATTATTTTAATTTTTTAAGTAATACATTTGAATTTATGAGTGATTCCACTTAGTCAAAAGTTAAAACACGTTTCTGCAGAAACCAAAACCATGTACCACTCAAATGACTTCCTTATGGCAACTATAATTTGAAGAAATATGACAAGATGTCATTAAGATGTAGATCTTAGGTGAAATGGGGATGGTGAGAGGTTGGTTAATGGACACGTAATAGCTAGTAAGGAAAAAAAAGTTCTACTGGTATACAGTTGAGCCAGGCCGCTATAATTAACAATAATTTACTGCATAGTATCAAATGGCTAGAAAAGAGAGATCAAATGTCATCACGAAGGAAATGATTAAGTTTTCTAATGATGAATATGCTCATTACTCTGATTTGATCATTACACGTAGTATACATGTAGTGATATTCAACTCTGTACCCCACAAATAAGTATAATCAATACTCTTCAACAGAAACAAAATCTAGATCCTAAAGGCAGAACAACCACAAATGTTAATTCGTTTTTAGATGTATCTTTTTGAATGTCAATGGATTTGTAAAACAAAACTGGCTTGGTTTCTTCTAAATTTTACAGTATTTCTTTTCTGTTTTTGGCAGCTGGCTGCTACAGGGATCGAACCCTAGACCTTGGTGTTATCAGAACCATGCTCTAAACAGCTGAGCTAACTGGCCAGACCACGTATTTTATTTCAGTCATGAGCAGATTTTTCCCTTATCAATAGCAATGTAGGAACAACATGTAATAACATAAGTATTGTACTGGGGATTATTTTATACACTGTTGATTATTATCACAAGGTAAACATAATTACATGATAAAAATTAAGTCTTCTGAGGAAGGCAACCTGACACTTAAAAATGAACTACTCAATAGTCTGAGATGCTTCCAAATATGCTTATAAAATGTATGTATATATTAAGGCTGAAAACATATACTGAGAATTCTATGCAAATAGGAATATTCAAAATGCATAATAAAACAGCTTTATGGGCTGGCCCGGTGGCGCACTGGAGAGTGCGCTGCTTGGGAGCGCGGCGGCGCTCCCGCCGAGGGTTCAGATCCCATGTGGAGACCAGTTCCTGCTCACTGGCAGAGCATGGTGCAGGCCCAACACCGAGGGTTGCGATCCCGTTGCCGGTCCCCGGTACGGGCGCAACACCGAGGGTTGCGATCCCGTTACCGGTCAGTAAAAAAGACAAAAAGGAAAAAAAAAAACAGCTTTAAATGACTACCTGAGATGTCACTTGATGCTGATCAAAGTATGAAAGGAGTTGGAGTTTTGTGAACACAGTCTCCAGCGTTGGGAATGCTTCTTGCTTGTTCTTTCTGGCTTTTTGTCCTTCATCCCCAACTATATAAGTATAAAGTAGATAAGTTATTTTCCATTTAATAGAAGCTCTTGACTTTTTAAATACTTTTTATAAAGTCCTGAAGTGGGCAATACCAATCCAAGTGGCTAGAAGTCACATACAGAAAAGTGCACAAATTCTATGGATTTTACAAAATGAACACACTGGTGAAATGAGACCCAAATCTCGAAACCACTTACCAGAACTCCAGAAGCCTCTCAGACCCCTTTAGTCACATCTTACTCCCCAGGGGACCATCCTGACTTCTAACCGCTTGGACTGGTATTACTCACTTTGGAACTTTATAGAAATGGAATAATACGGTATATGCTTCTCATATCTGGCATCTTTTTAATTTTTTTTTTATTTTTATTTTGTCAATATACAATGTAGTTAGTTATTGTGTCCCATCACCAAAACCTCCCTCCCTCCTCCCTCTCCCCCCTCCCACCCAGATGTGTCCCCTCCATTTTCTTGTTGTAAGAGCTTTAGCTCCCTCCAATAAGTGAAAACATGTGGTATTTCTTTTTCACTGCCTGACTCGTTTCACTTAATATTATTCTTATATTTCTAACCAGAGGATCCTGGAGATTGGGTTTTGAATTCTTGGAGAATGCTGGAGTTCCAGCAAAGTGGGACAGTGATTTTGTAATCTTTTTTTCAGGTACTGACTTGGAGGAAGTATTGGGTAGTGGTTAACAACATGATCTCTAAAATCAGATAACTGTAATAAAAATAGCAAATTCTGATATAGTGCCTACTATGTGCCAAATTCTGATTTTGTATTTTGCAAATATTAACTCATTCAATCTTTATGAAAATTCTGTAAGCTTTTCAAACAGCATGTGACAGTGATTAGGAGAACACATTTAGAAGTTGTTTGGCCAGGGTTAAAATCCTTCCTCCAAATACAAATCTCACACACACAACACAAACACACACACACACCAGACTTGAAGAAGTAGATCCAGCTAACAACTCCCAAATGACCTTTTTGTTTGTTTGTGTTAATGGGTTCCATTTACCTACACATAACTAACTTCTTAAAACCTCAGCTAAAAGAATATAATTGATTATAGATCATTTATATCTACTTTAAAAGAAAGATGTAAGAAATCAGTGATCATTCTCAATAAAATATTCTAATAATATTTACATGAGTAACAATATAGCCATAATACATAGCTTTTCCTCATCTGTTTTATGTTAATTTGTTTTCATAAAATATATTATTGCTCTTTTGTTGCTGAATTTTGGTTTTCACTAAAAAGAAATTTAACACCTGAAAGTTTTGGCTTTTTAGAGATTGTTATAGTAAACTTCATTAATGTTTTCAAAAGATATACCATTAACAACCAAAATAAAAAAAGACCATCAATGCAAATGTAACATGAAGTTTGACCATGCTCAACTGAAAAAGTTATTGAAACTTTAGATTATAAATTACCCTAGGTGTGAGCCCCGGCTGATCTACAACACTCTTAGGGGGTTGGTTCCTCAGAATCGTGTCTTTATATATTCCCAGAAATCAAACATATGCTACCACAAGCTCTGTTTTCCTTACCAGCCCTCATTTTGCTTTAAAAAAAAAAAAAAAGTGGGCAAATTTCCATTAATCTGAAGTACAATTAGCTAGTTTCTGGTACATATATTAAATTTTAAGTACTGACTTAAGATTAAGACTATTTACCAGAAGGCAGCTTGCTGTATCCCAAATTAACATCTTTCTGGTTGAGAAATTTCATCTAAAATGAAGGAGGGCTGGCTGGTTAGCTCATCTGGTAGAGAGCAAAGTGCTGACACCACCAGTGTCAAGGGTGCGGATCCCAATTCCAACCAGATGCCAAAAATAAATAAAAATAAAATAAAGGAAGGAAAAAATCCCCTTCGAATATGCCATTTCCAATGGTGCTTCTATTACTGACATCTCAAGAAGCAGAACAGAACAACAATGATTTTCTCTTTGTGAGTTCATATGGACTTTGTGAGTCTATTTAAGGGACCAGCACAAAGATAGGACAAACTGTAGTCTGGCATTAAATAACTGTGAAGGAAGTTAGGAGACTCCAGAGAAAAGGATATCACATTGCTTCCTTCCCCTACCCCCTCCCTCCGCCTTCTGAAACCCGTAATTCCACTGGAGCTCGAAAGATCCTCTAAAAATAATTTAGATAAAACATGTATTACTGAAACTCTCAAAGGAGACAGTGTCTCCCCAATTCCAAGTATACGAAAAGCAGTTTCAAGTATTCTTTGCTAGCTAGCTGCAGGGCTTCTAAATTCAGTCTTCTAAATGTAACCCATTTCCCCTTTTCTCTAAGAAAAGGAAATAGCAAAACAACAGATAAACAGTCTTCTGAGAGCATTTTCTTTCTGAAGCTCAATAACAACAGGTCAACTACAAGAGAGTTTTATTTCCCTTCCACAACTCTTGGTTGTTTCCTCACAGAGCTGGCATATTACGAGGTTCTTAACTGGCACTGGAAGGGAGTTAGGGAATGTGATGTACATCTGTGAAGGTAACTTTCCCATTATGTTCTAAGGACTGTCGCCTCAGACATCAGGCACTCAGGACAACACATGCAAACTGAAACACATGCTGCCCCTTGCACTGACAGGGAGGAAAGAGAAGCTGTTTGCATTCTTTAAACTTGTACTTTTCTTTAGGAAAGATCTGGTATAGACAGCTCTAGTAATTCATCCTGTTAAAAGTCTAATGACTGGATTCTCTGTGGAGAGGTCCATAAAGAAGTATTTTGTACTAAAGAACACAGTAAGCTCCTAGAGGTGGTTTACAACACGTGTAGAAAGAATGCTGTCTACATAGGGTAAATCCAAACTTTCCTTTTCTTTATATTACTTAAGCATTAGAGAAATAAACACCAGAGGTAGTAGTGGGGCACATATAATGATATCATATTTTTAACTGGCTGCCTAATGAAATAAACAGACGCTGAAAAGAGTAATTAGGCTAATGTGAAACAGATAATTACAAAATTCCAATTATGCAACATGGGTCATAATATAAAGACACAGCTTCTCTGTAGAAACTGTAAAAAGCCTAGGGAAGGAGTATTTCAAGTGAAAAAGGTGTGACAAAGCAAAGGCCCAATTTTCTTTCTCACTTAAAATTGTTTGGAGATACAGGTAGCCACCACTGCCTATTGCAATTATTCCTCAGAACAATGTAAGAAAAGATCAGCAGCTACACTGTCACGATTTTTAATTAACATGCAAACATGAGTGCCCCAGATCAAAAGCAGAGCACAAACTTGAAAAATGATGGTAAAGAAACAGGGAGATGGACCTTCAGCCTAAGGGTTTTCTGCCTCATTCTTCAGTACTCCATTTATTACTGCTGTAGAAAATTGGGAAGGTATATACAAAAGAGAATAAAAATTACCTATATCTACCTACAAAGTAGGGTATTTTAATACAAGGATTACTATAAATGGAAACAATGCTCTAAAACTTAAATGTGCTTATTCATATTTCAACGTGACAGTCACTCAGGAGAGGAAACCCTCTGTGACAGTGGCATATGCCACTTCGATACAGACTGCACTGAGAAGGCAGGCAAAAGGCGACGCAGTGGGAGCAAACGCACCGAGGCTCCTTACCCCCTGTCTCTGTGGTGCTCTTCTTATTCAGGATTTTCAGGATGTCTTTGGTAATCTTCTTCAGCTGATGCCGCGCCTCGTCACGCTCTTTGCCGACTCCATAGAGAAGGACTGTGCGCTGGTTACATTCGTGGCTCGAAGACTCGTCCTGGAAGACAGACAAGGCGCTCTGAACTGTCTGCAGGGCGGGCGCCGGCACGCACCAGGCCCTGCACCTCCATGCCGGCCGGTGGCCGCCACCTCTCCATTGACCTCAGCCTCCACTGCAACACCCTTGTTTTTCCAGTTTGGAACTTGCTAAAGTAAAAAACAAAAAACAAAAAACAAAAAAAAGTGTCAACTGACCTGAAGTCTTAATAGAAGCATTTGATGTGGGCGTACCCTACAGAGTAAGTTCTGGCTGTTGAAAACTTTTCATTGTTTAAAACTGAACATGGTACTAATTTCACATCATGTAACATACTACCTAGTCTTTCTTTTCCCTTAAGGAAAATGTTATTTCTTAGTAAGCTTGGTTTTATATATATAATAACAGTAAATATTTTATACTTAGGGAAAAAAAATCTTGCTAGGGTCCTTAAATACCTCTATAAAAAATATCTCATTTATTTCCAACATGACTGTGGGAGATACATGGTCATTTCCAAATGACAAAACAATAATGAGTGTAGGCCTCATTAGGTGTGGGGTAATAGTTGGAAATGCAAACGTGTTCCAACACCACCAGTCTTCCCTTCTGGACCACCTACCACCCCCGCCCTACAGACACAGTGAATCCAAGTACTATTCTTTCCCCACATGGGAAAGGAAATTATTTAATCACAGCATAACAAAAACACTTACACACTGCTATTCACATTCCTTAGCCAAAGTTAAGTAGTCCAGGATGCATTATCTCTCTTATGCCTGGCTTTGAATTTTTCCATCTAAATTTCTCCCTTCATTTTCTTATAACATTTCCAGCTCTATCTTCAATACATCCCCTTTCTTACTCTCTGTACCTCTTTGCCCATGCCAGGCACTTAACCTTCCTAACAGCATCTTATTCAAAGGAGCTTACATGAGAAAAAAACTTCTCCCAGGGAAAACAAGCTATATTGTGTTCATAATTAGTAGTGGCTGCAACAAAGAGGAAAAAGGGTCAGGCTTGGAGAGCTCCGATGTTTAATCTGGAGTACTCCACGTGTGTACTCGATACAAAGCAGCATCTCACTTCTGCAGCCTTCAGTAAGAAAGAGCCTGTTTTCTCTGATTTCTCCCTCTTTTTGTCAGCCTGTCTTTCTCTCTCACATACTTACATTCAGGCCACCATTTCCCCTTAAACTGGTTCTTTTTTATTCTATGCTACCAGAAATACACATTTGTATATCCCACTAAGCTATCTGGTTACTCTCCCTCCCCAATGATTCTTAATATTTCATGTGTTCAAATTTGCCTACTTTAAAAAAAAAAAGCAGCAGCAGCAGCTAGTAACAAGTTTCTCCCAGAAGCTGTTCTTAATTAACATCCTGAGTATCCAAACCTCTCCCAAATTTTCAAAAGATGGATATAGCAGTAGGATAAAATCAACACAGGCAGTGCAGTGATTCCTACACCTGGCTGCACATGTGAATGAACTGAGCTGCTTGTTATCTCCAATTTTTGTTTTTGTTACAGAGCATTATTGATATAATTCTTTTTTGTTTGGTGGATACGTGCAAATAAGCCCTATGAAGAGAACAGGAGGACTCTGACAAAAGCCAATTTTTGTTTTTGTTACAGAGCATTATTGATATAATTCTTTTTGTTTGGTGGATACGTGCAAATAAGCCCTATGAAGAGAACAGGAGGACTCTGACAAAATCTGTATAAACGCAGGCGTGCCAGTCACATACCTTGGCAATTGTTTTCAGTTAAGGCACATATCAAATGGTCCTAACATAAATGTCTATGTGAGGGGTGAGGAAAAGACGTTAGCACAGTTATCCAACAACTGTTTATAGAGTATCTAATTAAGGGAAGTCACGATGCTATGAACCTTCAGAAAATACAATGGTGCAAGTTTCCTGTCTCCAGGGAGCACAGATTCAAATGTCATAAAAGTATAATCTGCAGAGCTAGAAGTCCAAACAGGGATGGCGAGAGAAGGTACCCTGAAAAGATCCATGCACTCACCACAACCACACAGAATAACCATGGCCCACACTGTACCACTAAACAGCCCAGCTAAGAGAGAGCTGTGACTACATGCTGGTGTGCCACTTGCCAACTCCATGACCCTGGATAATGAACCTCTCTGAGCCTCAGATTCTTCCTCTGAAAAATGGGGTAAGCTTGGGGCTAAGAGAGAGCTGTGACTACATGCTGGTGTGCCACTTGCCAAGTCCATGACCCTGGATAATGAACCTCTCTGAGCCTCAGATTCTTCCTCTGAAAAATGGGGTAACTCACCTTCCTTGTAAGGTTTTGGTGAGGATAACTGAGACAAGGTATGTAAAATGTTTAGGAGCATACTGGACACAGTGCTCACTGCTGCTCTTCATCCTAAAGACTCCACTTCTCTCCTGCATGCACCCCACACCCTCACTGCACTGCATTGTTCCACATTTCTGCAGGACCCTCCCTTCCTTTGCTGTTGTTCTTCCTTCCACCTAAAATACCCTCAACAATTTCAGTTTTACTTGCTGAAATACTATGTAGAAATACAGTGTCAGGTCCCTCACTCTGTCGCTCCAGTTTATTAAAAACCCTCCCCGCAAAAGTAGAGAGGGGAAGAAGCCTTTCTCGTATCTGTCACAGTGTAATTCACTTATTTTCTAGGTATTTAATTTCTGTCTTCCCCACTAGACTATAAATTGTGAAAGACCCCATGTCTGTTTAATTCATTTTTATATTCTCCTTAATAGGTGCTGCGTTATTTAATACTTGTTGAATACACTAAATGGAGAATAAATAAGTGGACTGATGAACAAACATATGGCTAAAAGAATAGGGCAAGAATGAGGACAAGAACAAAAATTAGTTTTGTAGGAAACAACCTGATAGTTAAGTGCTGAGAAAACTGAAAGGGAGAAGTGAGAGACAGACAAAGTTAGAGCAAAAAGCTTTGCAGAGTGAACCAAATCTTAGTGGTGGGAATGACAACTAAGAAGCTAACAATAGTCAACACTTGTTGATTATTATAAACAATTATAAATCAAGAGGTATCTGAAAGAAGTTAGGAAAGGATCAGCATCTGAACCCAGTGAGTGAATGTACATCTCACTGGACTTCAAGATGGACCCACTGGATAAAATTTGTTGGAGGAAAAAAAAAATATGTTATATGGGCAGGGAGCTCCTGAACTCAGCTATAAGTATGAGGCATTTGAGGGGTAGGTGAAAATGGATTGTAAATGTGTAGCTGTTGGATTGATGTGAGCACTAATGCAGAGGTGACAGCTCAGGGATAAGGTGATATGTCACATCCTGGGAGGAGCACAAAACCTCCACATTCTCCCTAGGGGAGAAGAGTCAAGAGAGGCGAGATGGAGGATGGGGTGAATAAGCCTTCATATGGTGCACACACACTCTCCATAATTAAGAAGATGACCTGATAATGCAGTGTCACAGAAGTCAGGGGAGGGGATATACAAAAATGGGGGCCATCGACAATTCAAGTCGAGTCACTTCACAATGCATGTGTCCTCTCTGATTTGTTTACTAAAACTCCATGTGTGAACCTCAAAAGAGAAGGTTCTCTCTAACAGTACAGGCAGAAAACAGGAAACCAGGGTTTGAAGTTGATGGTGAAACAGTGGAATGAGGGAAGTAACTGACAGTGACTGGAAGCTGGGCATGAAAGAGCAGCTTGAGAGGAAAGAGAAAGTCTTACGGGGACAATTAAATTTTTGTTTCGAAGCTATTTTTCAAATAAAGAAGTCTCCAGAGAGGAAGTCAGGATTGGAGAGCAGATAACTGACAAAGGAGACAGGAGGCAAGGGCCCCTTGTCTGAATGAAAACGGAAAGAACGGAACATCTTTCTACTTAACTGAAGGGAACAAAGAAAACTAGTGAAAATACAGAGAAATTTGGAGAAACTTGAAGAAGCTCAAATCAGCTCATTGGCCCTGATGAGCTCAGGAAATCAGGCCAAGAGTTAAAGTCACGAACTCAAAGCTAGAGGTTGTAACTAGAGAGCCAGAGCAGTGTGCCGGGAAGAATCACTGGTCAACTTCTACAGGGATGTAAAGACAGTCTTTCTTTCTTATAATTAATTTTTTCAGGGAAATTGCGACAGCTGTTACTACACTAGTCTTCAAACAGGACAGGCAAAGACATTTTAAAAGCTACTGTTTTTTAATAGCCTACAAGATTTGTTTACATCAATATTTTTGTACAAGTAGAAAATGTACATGTCTTCAAATAGCAATTCATATCAAATGGGAATAAAGTCAACCTAAGAAAATGTACGAAATACTTCAAAAAGTACCAGTGATTTCTACTCTTTCAACCTGGTATTTAAACATCCTCAAGTTGAACAGTTTTAAGTAATGTTAATAATTTGACATCAGCAACAATCATCACTATATTGTTATTTCCTGAAGTATATATTTGTTGCGCAGGAAAAAGAATCAACTGGAGAGTCCATAGGAGCAGTCAGGCTATCTCTTTTATGCTAGCCCACCTGCTGCCCTTGGATTTAATGGGCAATCTCCCCTGTAAACTGAGTTCTGGAAATCTCATGCTCCAGATCAATTACTTTCTTTCCCCAGATATTATCTCATGCTCACAAAGACTGAACTGAGGAAGAAACTAGGGGGATGCGTGTCTAAAACCTTGGCAGGCGTATTGTACTACTGGAATTAAAAAACGTCTCTTGAGCCAAATAGCCTTAGAAGGAAGAAATGGAGTTAATGAACTGAGGTCTGCTGTAAGTCATCTTTATTTTTCTAAAATAAGTGACTAGGAATGTTGCCAAAATGTGTGTTCACCACGATGTGATAATGATGGTGAGACTGTCACAGCTGTGTGTTCTCACATTCATATTTTCTGGTATTTCTACAGTGATCCAATAATCATATAATTTAAAAATTACTAAACTAATGTTCTTAAAGGAAAATAAAAAAAGAATCCTGTTCTGAAGGTGCTTCCTTTTCTTCCAAACACTAATGAGAAATAGATGAAGTAGATGTAATTGTCTTTCTGATAAAACAAAATAGAACATTTCATCCTTCCCTAATTCTCTAATTTTGTACATTTAAATATTCAAATGTGACCCAGTATACATCAGAAGTAAACTGCACACACCATCCTACCTCATCTCTAAAAAAAGTAGTAAAAATAAGCTTTAACAAAATGAACTTAAAACTTTAACATATTAAAGTCTTTCAAAAAAACCCTTCAAACATCATTTCTTTCAGCAGAATCTACCAATATACCATACTATTTTGTTTAAAATAAAATAACTTTAATTTTTTTTTTTTCCTTTTTGT